AGGTGATATAGGAAGTCATAGGTGGTTTAGGAAGTATAGATGACGTAGGAGGGTATAGGTGGTATAGGAAGTATAGATGACGTAAGAAGGTATAGGTGGGTTAGGAAGTATAGATGATATAGGATGGTATATATAGGTGGTAAAGGAAGTAATGGTACATTAATACAGCAATTGAGCTTTCTTTATGAATTGATACACTACAGCTTATACATTTCTAGAAGTATTATATATAATAACAATGTTTCAACCCGCTGAGGTATAGAAAAGAGATAGAGAATATCGAAGTATAATTCGAATTCGACATCGATAACTAGAGAAAAATATGAAACTGAGGAATATTAGCAGAGACTTTTTTGGTTGATTCAGTCCAAATGTATCCACAAAATTGGAAATCTGGAATGGTGATCCCATCCCTGATTAGCAGTTATGTGGTAGGTTCCGGAAAGGCTTATAAACAAGTCATTGCATGTAATTTTCCTATATAGCTTGTACTTATTTTGAAATAGTTTATATCTGCTATATTGTATTCCATAAAGGGTACATACTGGTTTCTATCGGTATTAATCGACGTGTCCAGTATACAAACCAACAGCTACGACGTTGACACGTGCCTCAGGTATGGAGGTGCTATTTTCTATAGTATTCAAGCGGTTCCTGATTATTTTGCACGATTACTAGCAAATAATACACAATAAAATACGTATTATTGTATCTCACAAGAAAATTACATAATGGGGAATATTGTCTGCGAATAGAAATCGAAATATAAATGTTTATTTGTATCAAAACTGCAAATGTCTCATGATTTAACCGTTGCTGTTTTACGTAAAGCGAAACAGATTTAGTTACAAATTCAAACGCCTTTTATAAACTGTATTCGGGTTGACCCACCCCAGCAGTGTTTCATTCCTCCAAACCTTTTTCACGCACGTACATAGTTCTCTCGTGTACATCGGGGATCTTAAACAATCGCTACAACTAACGGAGAGGCCCGTCCGACTTTTTATCTAACATGGAGGACAAGGTAAACAAAGTTTTAATTGAATCTTGAAAAAATCGGAATGTAGGTCCCGTTCGTTAGACTTTGTCCATCACTATGTTTCCATTGTACAAGTTATGCTTCATATATTAAAAAACGATTAACATTGAAGAAACCTAAAAAATAAATTGTACTCAAAAACTGTCCCGGGTGATACCGACGAAATTCTTCAATTTACATCTAGACCCACATAAAAAAAGTTAGTACCTTTGGCGTAAGGACCACAACACAGAAGAGATCAGTTCCAAAAACTACCCCGGCCATCCCCTTTTAAAATCCTTTAACCAGAAACATATATACTATACTATAATTGATTGATTGACAGGTTTTACTTCCGCTTCACTACCGAGTTACTATACTATAGTGTATGTACTGCGTATATACTGGTTTTATACGCCTCTGTTTGAACCGCCCGATGTTTATTTTTTAAAACAAAACTTTTTTAAACTAAGTGTCTGATCATAGACGTTTACGTTTCTGGTCTGACGTGCTGATAAAAAAACGGTAGCTGAATCTTAATAAGAGCCAATACAGATTGATTTTGATGGTTTTACGTCCGCTATTATACGTACGGCCTTGCGACCTTTCAGTAGACGACCAAGCAGTACGCACATGCGTGTGCTCTGGCTTTACTGAAATTGGGATGCCCAGGGGGCTAAACGTGAGGTACGTATACCGGTGAGAGGTAGTGCACCCCCGCTGAGCTAAGGCCACCCCTGATAGCGATGGGGAGCCATAGCGATCATGGTCATCGTAACTAACACACCGGTCTGTTCTGGTTTACATATCCAGGTAAATTGTAATAGCGACGGCCTTTATCATTAGTCGAAGTTGAGCTATTCGCAGATTTCACTAACATTTGGTTTGGACGTATACCATAATACTGTAAACACATTGCAGAAATCGTTTTGTGACTGGACAAAATGGCAGACTTGTCACGGCTCCTGATTGGTCGATAAGAGTGCTAGATTTTGCTTAAATGTGGTATGTTTTGTTAACAGTACATTGACTATGTGAATTATCAAGGGCCAAACTACATAGATGATATATAACTTTTACAGCATAGATACTTTTCAATATTTCACTGGTAAAAATGTTCGATCAAACCAACCCTTTATAATTTTAATGAGTTAAAGATGTCAATATCATCAATAGCAAACAAATTGCGTTAAAGAGGTGTATAATGGTTCTGCAAACACTGATGGGGCACTGTTTTCTGATGGGACAAAATATCTGCCAAGTACTTACTTTTGATTGGTCAAAGTTTAGAGTGATCAATTTTACTCAAATTTCATATGAAGGAGTTCATGTTATTGCTATCGTTTTGTGATGCACCATTGCACTGATAAGTTTTTTGGCAGAATTAGGTGTGGTTTCCTTCTCGCCTCTTGTATAGGGTGCATCGAGCAAACCAAGAATAGACCTGCTTTCGAAAAAGGCGACTAATATGCGCCCCCATCCTGCAGAATCGGGGGTTTTCTTCCGCGTCAGTATCTTTATCGTGTCGTATCTTTCCGGTCCACTTTCCTTCTGTCCTATCTACTTTCAATATGTTTGCAATACAATTTTTTTATTTTTTTTATTCAAAAATAAAATTGAAATACGCTTATGTTCGCACAATTCCGAATTATTGAAAATTGTCCTATTAAAAAACGGTAATAGACTAATATCTGTTACCCCTATATTTAGTTTGGAAAAAAAAAATGTGTACCAAAGACACTCACGTCTCAATAAACACACGTACATCTACATATAAGGAGAACAATCTTTACCATTTTTACGTACTGTTTTATTAAAAGAAAATGTCAATCAAAAATCAGAATTGCTGTTATATAAGAATTGACATGCTTTGGAGTGAAAACCTACTAATATCAATATTCCTACCGGGAGAGCCGGTATTATGACATATTATCATATGTTTATTCAGAATATGAGTGTTTTTGCATATTTGATAACGTCTGACCACTCCTGATACCACTTCCGGTCACCCGTGTGATAAGTTTCTCGTAATGCACACCCCCCATGCGATAACAATTCTCGTAATGCACCCCCTGTTCGGAACACCTCTACCTCTGTATTGGATATGGGAAGCGCCCGAGTGTCAGTTGCTTTTTTGCTTAGACAGTGTGTTGAGCAGACGTCAACAAACAAAATGTTAATAAACCAGGGAGAGGAAATACTTAATTCTCTAGCGTCTAGAATACTTGAATTGGATGACCTCATTGATAAGGAAAATGCACTGAATATCATCTTGTAATAATCTGTTTCAGTTGACATTGTTGATTAAATTATCTAATTGTTTTTCCTGTTGACTTGTTTTTATATTACTTGAACATATGATAAAAAGTTTATAATATGACCCTCGGGCTGATATCGGGACTCTCGGGCTGATAAGGGATATGATATCAAAATGGTCATATAATAACCTCTAATTAATCATCTATGATACAACAACTCTGCATACGGGAGACTGGGAAGTTCGGCCACCCCTGCTATTCGGGTCTTAAACTAATATTTACAAACTTTGAGGATCATAGCTGTTAAGTTGGTTTCGGCATTCACACGAAAAAATGTCGAGGAATTTAATCTAGGCCCGGACAGGTTCGGACCATGATACCGGTGCAAGTTCGGCCCATGAAACACATACATATAATGAAATCAGTCGTGAAATTGGCAGGATCATCTAAAGTTGCATGCTTTATGACGTCATAATCTTACCCGACTGTCTTTCCTAACTCGTTCGGCAGTCAAATCTTTCGACAGGGAAAAAAAATCAAAAAAATCAAACACGTTCGTGTTTTCCATAAACAAATGCCATATTTTCCCCTGTTGAGGATTGTGATCACTTCTTCCTCCTCTGTAATATATATACTATTCGAAGGCAGCTTCTTCTGGACTCAATATCTGCTCACATTGCTACTATTACATTAAATATTCGGACCGTTCTCTTTGGATGTCAAAGACTCCATATCAATATGAATATAAGTATTCTAAAGATGGCTCAGAGATTCATTAGAGATACTAGACGCTTTTACTAGATTTCACTTATTTGTATATTTATTATCACGTGACCTTGCCGTGTGGAATGATGCTAACACAGACTACTTTTCCATTGAGTGTGCTGTCCACCAGCACCGTTTTGGCTGATATTTGATGTTTCCATAATGTACTTTCTTTATCAACAATTTAAAAAATAAGAACAATGACATGCAATTATTAATATATTATATATACATCATGTATCGTTGCTACAATATTCTGTGCGTAAGCTGCTTATCACTGTTAGCAGTGGCGCACATAGGCCATGTCTGTTGCCCAATGCATTGGTATCAAATATATCTGAACAATAAATATTCTGAAATGAGTAATTGGTCTCCTTGCGATAGCGCGGATCTGATGCCGACTTTAGAGAGTTACCTCATTGATATACCATGTCGAAGGTACCCCCGTTAAATCATTATGTGACCGGGCGTAATGCTGTCCTGGGTGACTTCGGTATGGTATTTCAGTGAGGTAGCACTTAAAGTCGGCATCAGATTCGCGCTATCTCAAAGAGCAGAGTATATCAACATACCCTGCCTCTAGGACACATTCACACATGCAAGTATACCCACACCACGCAAAGAGGCATGTCGTTAAATGGCCTTAGCTGTTTATAGGACGTTAAACCCTATGAATGTACAACCAACCGACCGAAGGCACACAACACAGAGTTTGGTCTCATTATACTGACTACGGGTAAGCCGGGTATTGCAGTAACGAAAACCTCTCATTCTGCAAGCCGAGAATTATTCATCTTTTAAAAAAAGTCCTCCAGATATGAAAGATTTTTGATGAGGCCATTCTGACATGTCCTTTGTTACTGACGGTACCATATATCACTTCCCAATCAATCCATTAATTTTAATGGTAAAATTGACTTAATATCAACATAAATTATAAGCACACCATTATATTTCAGAACTGATATAAGCCTGGACGACCTGTTAAAAGCTGATCATCAGTATAAGAAGGGAATCCTTGAGGCATGGGAAAAAACATTTCACCCAGAAAAATACCGTGAATGTACAGTCGAAGAAAAAAACGCTGCGTATCGGCCTATTGACGGATCTTGTAACAACGTTGACCATTATGATTGGGGAAAGTCCATCACAGCTAGAAGCCGGTTTATATCGAAGCCAGCCTACAGTGACCAGCATGGTAGGTAAACCAAAACTTGTTTTGTGTGTTATATTTACAGACCCCGAATGGGGTATTAATTGTTGTACCCTTTACTGTAGAACGCGAAACCGACCAAAATGAGTCTGCCTCACCCTTACAATACAAGGAATCCTGTCTACCCTTTAAACTATTTCGTGTTGGTTTCCTAACGCCGCGCACTTTGCAGTGATGTGAGCGTTCGCCCTAGATCAAGACAACCCATTAAAATCGGTGGTCTTTACTAGAACTTCCGCTTTGAAATAAATTGTCGCGATAACTTGTAATTCCGTTGCCAGTGACTTTGACCAGAATGAATACGATGTATTCTACCGGGTAATGACATTTAAGTGAGATGGCACTTTTAGTGGCTAATAATCCAGAGACACCGTCTTAGGAATTTGCCTGTGGCGAATACGAAAACTCAGAAGCAATCAAACCGCTGATGAAGAAACAAAAATCGAAAAAAAACTAAATCGATGCCAGCTTGGGATCCGCTTCCCCATACTCTCTTGGTTTGGTCTGAAGCAGCACTTAACTAACATCAAGAAATTATTAAACATTCGTATTCTTATTACGCATAAGTCATACTAACATTACATATGCTTATATTTAAAAATAAAAAGTTGAAATTCAACCTTATTGCCATTATTTCAAAACCATTTAAACAGTCAAAAACATCATGATGGAAAACGGTGAATTTAGATAAATACATGAAAAATGTACAATGTGCAATGTGGTACACTATCTAACCTTAATGTTGTGGCCCTTAACTACTTGTCGATAGGTGTTAAAGGAATATAAAAATGCATCTTCTATTATTCCTTTGTTATGTCCCTCGAAACCGTAAGACACTAGCTGTTGCGAGGTCGTAATCATCGTAATCCCCCCCCCCCCCCCCCCCCCCAAAAAAAAGGGTTTCAATTGCTCATTTACGAATCATTTCGGCGTAAATACCAAATGCCAGATGACCCCAAACCTTTTCATATCCGGTCGGGGAATCGACCCCGGCCGCCTTGGTGAAAGGCAAGTGCGCTATCCAATGCACCACCGAACAAACATTAAATTGAATAGTAAAACAAGCAACGACTTTGAACTGACTACTGTTGGTAGGCTAGCATTGTAGGGCTATTTACCGTTTCGAAAATAAACTAAGAATTTTTATAATAAGAAATTGTCTTTTTCGGTGAAGGTCAATATAATCTAATAACAAGTGTTCTGATATGAATTGCTCGTGAAATGCTATGCATTGTGGCCACCCTCCCATTTAAGTAAATAAGAATGGATACGCATTCTTGCATACTAGACCGAGATATCCGCATTTCCGGCGGTGCTGGAAAATTCTATCCGAACCACGGGTCTAGATCGCTTACACGCGCAGACTGACGGGGGCATTATAGTGACCTTTCGGGGTCGCGCTATTGTTCGTACCGTCATTTTATGACGTTTTGAGGTCAGTCAGGGTCATTGACGTCACTAACAATTGTTCATATGCAAATGAGAAATGTGCGGACAGTTTACAATTTTACTAGAAGAGCAGCTGTTTTTACGGGTTTTAGGTAATAAGCAAGAAATAGAATCCATCCCTGATATGAGGTAAGGATAAGGTTATTCAAACCCTCGGGATAAACTATTGAGTAAAAGACCCTCGGCAAAGCCTCGGGGGTCCTGCTCAATGTTTTATTCCTTGGGTTTGAATTACCTTATCCATACCTCACATCAGGGATGGATTATATTATTCTTGCATACTGGACCGAGATATCCGCATTTCCGGCGGTGCTGGAAAATTCTATCCGACACACGGGTCTAGATTGCTTACACGCGCAGACTGGCGGGGGAATTATAGTGACCTTTCGGGGTCACGCTATTGTTCGTGACGTCATTTTATGACGTGTTGGGGTCATTCAGGGTCATTGACGTCACTAACCATTGCCATCCGGGCTTCATATGCAAATGAGAAATATGCAGACAGGTAATAAGCAACAAATAGAATACATCCCCGATATAAGGTATGGATAAGGTTATTCAAACCCTCGGGATAAAATATTGAGCAAAATACCCTCGGCAAAGCCTCGGGTCTCCTGCTCAATATTTTATCCCTTGAGTTTGAATAGCCTTATCCATACCTCCTCGCATCAGGGATGGATTCTATTATGAATGACCGATCCAAAGACGGGCAATGACAACCTCGTCTCCGCGGTTTTCACTATTGTTTGGATAACATTCACCGGTTTATGGTTTGTAGAGTGTAATATGTTGTCTACGCATTGAGTGTAATTATTTTCTCCCCATTTGAGAATTTGTTATTAACAGTTGATGATAAAGCCGCTTTGGCGGTGGGATCTTTGCGTCACCGGGTATTCGCACATGTCCGGGAACCCAACATAATGTAATATGACAGTTTTAGGTCAAACTATGTAAGCCTTTTTAAAATTTATGTTGCTTAGGCTATCAAAACAGACCGGAAATCAGAATATATGATTAACATTGGTACATATTTTGATATAATATGTTCAAATGAATGATAGATAGCATGGCATTCGCAGAATATAATGACACATCCATTGGTAACCGGCATCCAATAGTGAAATCTTTTGTAACTATGTCTGCGGCGACCTTACGAACCCTTAGTGTAAAATAATTGAATTCGTTCTCTTTCAACTGCAATTTCGATAAGAATGAACGAAAGATTCAATGTGGGATTTTATTGTTTTCATAAAGTGCGTTCGTAATTATTTTTACTTTTTATATTAATGACGTTCATATTTTTTATATTGAAATTTTGCTACGTAACGTTTGATTTCCACAGGCCTTACCAGCCCGCGAAAGGCCAAAAATGGTAACGAACTCCCATCGGCACGGAGTGTGAGTATAGCGTTCGCGAGATATACACAAGACCTGGAAAATACCCCACTTGATGACCTGAGAACAGTAGCGTTGACCGGATGGGGTCAGTACCTCGATCACGAAATAACCGATACAGCACTGTCTAGTGGTAAGTATACATAATTTAAATATATATTTTGACTTATAAATTAGCATCTGTACCTGTCTATTATACATCTCTATGTACTGTTTTTGTATGAATCCGTAACATCTTATTGTTGAATATCGTTAAAAGAATTTTCTAAAAATTTACTCATATTATACTTGATACTGATACTCTTCGTAATTCCATAATAAATACATCTAAACAGACGTGATAATTAATAGTGGAGACTTAAATGTTATGGTAAGGTATAATATATATGACATTTTCAAATAGTTGTGATTTTCATATTTATTTCTTTAAACAGTGGCTTTGAAATATTTCATGTCCTCTGAATTAACCAGCAAGGTGTTGCTATCTCTCAAAAAAATCAATTGTCTCTATTAAAGTCATCAAAGTTAGAAGGATTGGTTCGGTGATATGGTTTAAGATTTGCTAATATTAAGCCTAATAAAATCCGATACGGAATATATCTATTCCAGATCTTTGATATGATTCCTTTAAGCGATAAAACCATCTCATATTATTGGTGAAACTCTCCACAATTTTCAATGTTTTTCTATACGCACATATTTTATTCCCATAATCTATATTAAAATCCCGATAAACAGTGGACTTTGTCCACTACCCCTGCTTCGTGTTCGTGAAAAAGTTTGGTTTATTTTTTTAACGTCCTATTAACAGCTTAGGTCAATATAGGATGTGCCTCCATGTGTGTAGTGTATGCGTGTGTGTATGCAGGAGACAGGATATGTTGGTGTGCTTGCCTTATTGCCATAGCGCGGATCTGATGCCGACTTTATAGTGCTATCTCACTGAAATACCATGCCGAAGGCACCAAGCACCGCATTCCGCCCGGTCACATTATACTGACAACGGGTGAACCAGTTATTGCAATTCCCCTTAATGCTGATAGTTAAGCTTGGAATTACTACCATTTTTAAGGACTTTGGTATGTCCCGGCCTGGGGACAGAACTCATCGCCTTCATCACCTGGGCAAACGCTGAACATGGAGTTGATCTTGATTCGTTCTATCAAATGTTACGCGTGTATTTGTTATAACGCTATCGTTTGCAGCACAAAACAACGCTTAAATGTATACTTATGTTAACACTTCACTATACATGAAGAATATGTAAGATCATAAATGTACATATAGACATTATTCATACGTTTTACAAAATTAAACTCAAACTGACTTAAAAATCCACACATCTGTCCCTTGTCTTCATCATTTTCTGTACACACTGACCTCTCTCTTACGCATTATTGCTATAAAACAAATATCGTCGTTTCCGATACAAAAAAGGGAATCTTTTTTGTTTCCTAGACAGATGCTGTTTCAGAGAAAAAACAGAACAAATTCGAAACTTAAAATGTGTTCAAGTATATTACAGTTGTTTCATAGCATACGACAAACACATACAAAACGGACACTGAATGAAAAAACCCGCTGTTATCCACAGGCTACGGTGGAGCTGTCATTGAATGCTGTCCACTTAGCAAGGAAGAGAGAGCCAAAAGGTACTCATTTTAGTATTAAAATACAAAATTGAATAGTCAGAAGCCAGAGTGTAAAACATCAGAAAGACTTCTGTGAAACCTATAAGTGCATTTTCACAAACTTTTTCTCAAAATGATGCTTTTATGGTGAGGATTATAATTTATACGTTAGAAGGGACTTCACGGCTCATAAAGGCTGAGGGGCGAGGCCATTGAAGTCCACAGAGTGCATTAGCCTCTGAATGGCTTCTCTGAATCTTGGTAGGTGACATTCTCCAATATTCCGTTAAACTGATGCTTAGATGATGAGGGTCAGAACTAAGAACATAGAAGGGGCTCGCCCCCCAGGGGGTCACTTGTTGAAAAACTAAATCAACAGTATTTTTTCATATTTATCTCCTGAAGATATGTGTAAGATTTAAATCAAACTTGGTCGTAATCATATGACAATGGTGGGAATCATAATCTACACCGGAGTAGGGGCTGACCTCCCAAATTGCTGTTGAGCGGGGGCCATAAGAAGTCACCGAGGGTACAAAACCGTTAAAAGACTTCTCTGAATCCATCCTACAAGTATATTTTCTTTAACAGTTCATAAAATAATGTTAAGCTGAAGCTATATTGAAGGGACTCCCAAATGTATTTACTTACTGTCCATAACTCCATTGTTGTTATTACTTCTTATATTTATCACAATACTACACAAGTCGCTATCTTTTATTGAGCCTAAGGGTCTGTGTAATCGGATTAAATGTATAATTAATATACTTGCTCAAATGGTTAGCAACACAGGACAGACCATAAGGGCAAACAAATGGTCGACAAAATAATGTAAAGTAAAAGCATCAAATGACAATTGAATAAAGCGGCATTACTGTGTGCATTACACTAGGATAATAGTAGTTATGGTACTCGTCTGAAGTTTCTTGATAATGAACCTTCCTGTGATGATTGACCTTAATCTGTTGCAAACTACTCTAGATATCAAAACATCAACTTGTATTAAAAGTGGCTATGGTGACTAATAATTAATTAAAATGACCAACAGCTTTCAGATAGTTTAAAATTGTAAAGAGGTGATTTTCGAAAAGAGTTTGAAGATATGAAACGTTGTTATAGTGTTTGATTGTAAATGGTTCATAAGGTTTGCGGTGTTATTCGAGAGAATGTGCGTGGCGATGCATGCCTTTTTTATGATAAGGTTTGCTAAGATTTTTATGAATACAACGGTTGATTCAAAAGATTTACAGTTATATCATCTATCATATTATTTGACTATAATGTTTTTTTTATTTAAAAAATCCCACAAAAATACCTACCAGATTTCTAAAAACATGTTTGTAGGCCCCAGTGTATCGACATCGCCATTCCCGAGGACGATCCGAAATTCACAAATGATTCATGCATGGAGTGTGTCCGGTCAGCTGGGACCCTAACGGATTTTAGAGTTCCAGGTAAGGTTGTTTGTTATTTATTGCTTTCTTAGAAACATACCTTCCTTGCCTTCTTTTGTTTGGTTTAATGTTATCCATTTTACGTCCGTTTAACAGCAAACGCACCCCCATGTGTGTAACGTATGCATGTTTGTTTGTTTGGTTTGTTTGTGTATTGTTTACCGTCCATCGACAATGCGAGTCATTTAGGGCCAACAACACTGTAACAAGAGAAATTCACGAAAATAAACACATCAGAGTGTTAATAGTAATATATTAATTGCAAAGGAATTGTATCGAATAACCTTTTCATAGACGGTACATCATTACACCTGTCACGTATTTGTTTGAAATCAGCACATTCAATCATAAAGTGTTTGACTGTAAATGGTTGGTCGCATGCATGACAACAAGGCTGGTCTTCCTTACGCAAAATGTAGCCATGTGTGATGTAGGTATGGATTATGCGCAGTTGCGAGAGGATGCATGTATGTGTGCTGACTTTTTGGTGCTTCCAAAAACAATTATCGATTCAAGTTTGCGGTAAAGTCATAAAATAGAAGTGAAAATTCCATAAGCGCTTTGCCTTTGTCGAAGCTCAAGGTCACTGTTCCTAGAAATAGAAATGCATTTATCCTATTTATATCGAGGTCAGGTCACCCTTACAAAAAATAATTTTCCCGGATGAATTTAAATAAATTTCCAAGGTGCTTACTTTAGAACGAAATAAAGCCGCTATCTCATTTTTTTTGTATTTTAGTTAGTGTATTTGAAACACAGAACAGCATAAAATCATGACACATACATATACAGGCAAATTTTATTGTTCATAAAGCTCAAATTTTAAATAATTGTTAGTACAGAAATGTTGCCCCTGGCTGCGATCTCTCACAGGAAACATGAATATTTGTTAAACTTTGTCGAGTCTTGCATCTCTTAAGCGTATCTATAGAGGGAGCATATCTATAGAGGGAATACGATTCGTTTGCTTTAGTTTCATTATTTAAGGGAGTGCCTCCATGTGTGTATGCGTGCATGTGTGTGTGTGTGTGTGTGTCGGAAACAGGGTATGCTAGTGTATTTACCTCCTTGATATAGTGCGGATCTGTTGCCGACTTTATAGTGTTATCTCACTGAATACATTTATTATATCTCGCAACGTTACACGATGTGCGAACGATAAAAATCTGGATGATTATTGCTTGTGTACGATGGACGAATGTTGTACGATAACAATCGTGATGGGTGAAAATTGAGGAATGGTTCAATACAAACGGTTTCGTGTTAAAAACCTTTAAATTTGAGTTTTCATAATTATGTTACTATATTTTAGCTATATCGATAACTTTCTTTTATCCAACAAATATAGACACGGTCTCGTATACATTTAAACATATAGGCACTTTTGTCATGAACCTGGGCCGTAGTTTTCCTCACCAAGGGACCTTACGTAACTCATTGGGGTCTAAAAATCCAGGTGAAGGGGAGCTAATGTAATTAATTAATGCTTAACGTCCATTTGTGTTTTCATAACGGTCATATGGTATCACATATCAGCTCTTTGTATCAGGTACAGGTCAGGGAAAATTCCGGTCACTCATCAAAATGTTATTTACCTATACGTGTTACCTCGGAGCCAGACCCATTCTTGACAATCTAACGGTCACTGTAATAATACTGTGTAACACGCATTGTAAAACAGATCATAAGCTTAACCACAGTGATAAGAAATGATAATATATACAGAGTACCTTATTTTATTTCATACGATTCTTACTGATTTTTTTTTTATTGATAAACCAATTGTTCAAAATCGCACATTTGTGGGGATCGTAGCGCACAACGGGGCAAACGTTAAATCGCACGGTTGTGCGCACAATGTGTGTTGTGCTGTTCAACAACTCTAGCATAGCATTCCGTCCGGTCACATTATACTGACAACGAGTGGACCAGTTGTCGCCATTACCATGAATGCTGAGCGTTAAGGAGGAAATAACAACTACCGTTTAAGGACTTGTATGATGTACAACAGAAATGCATATTTTTAGTACGTTTGATTTACAGCGGATAAAAAGAATTCAAGTCGATCCTACAATTTTGTATGATAGGTCCCAGACAACAGATCAATGACATCACAGCCTTCATAGACGGTTCCAGTTCTTACGGCAGTGAAGATGAACGAGCGGACGAATTAAAGGATAAGACAACAGGTAATTTCTTTGTACGTTATCATCAAAAAATCTCCATTGGCCTATATTGCTTGCATGTTATTCAATGCTATTGGCAACCTACATCTAACGTCTATAATATTACAATTTGATCAATAGTTATGAAACTCAATACAATCAGGATGACAAAACACAAGCTTACTTCAATTACTCTATCATCATGCCAAGTTTTCAACTTTTTATACGTTTTGGAATCGCACTCGTCCGAGCTTTCGAGATAATCACCTTCCTATTACGTTTCAAGTAAATTGTTTGAAAATCACTCGAAACATATAATGGACACTGTTTCAGCAATCGAATAAAAGGGCAATAAATCTGTAAATTACAGTCAGATAATGGTGGTTTGAAACACTTTCAAATTTTCGAGGTAATTAACCTTCCTATGAAGGCGGAGAATAAACGATGAAAGTTACCCAAGCTAAAGAGTGGTCACTGTTTCAGCAATAGAATACAGGGCCATAACTGCATGGTAATTATTGTTATTGAACTCATCTGCGCTGTCATGGCAATTTAGCTTTCTATTAAAGGGACATCACGTGAAGAGCCATATTTTTTTAATGAATGTATGTATGTATTGTATGAACTTCCACTTATGTTACCTCGCTATCCCCATATTCATAGTCCGTTCCAAATGTCCAGTTTGACCACTTGAATTGTTCGGGAAAGCCCTGCTAAAAATAGCGCCGATAACGTCACCTGCCTAGGCAGTATAAACGCGAGCGGTCTGGGCGAGATGAAACGGTTTCCAAAGGGGGCCCCAGAGAGGGGCGTCAGGCAACTGCAACTTCTTACCGCACTATGAAGCCAAGTAATATGCTTTCTAAGCCCGTATTAAAACTTATTGAACAATAGTTATTCATCATCAGAAGTTAATTGCACACTTGCCAATATTCAGAATTTAAATTTATTTAGCTTTAAACACATGTGTTGCCAATTAAGTTGATCATGGGATGGGGCACATGTTTTTACAATTTATCACAGCCTTCGCCCGTCATACATTTACAATTAAATGTCAACAATGACAATAGGCATAAACATAAAGTATATATATATATAAATATATATTGAATTTAGTACCGGAATGTGACATCTGTACGGGGTTAAACACCTTTCTTCAACCATGGGACAAACCTTTCTGTAAAAAGGAATAATCACGTGACGAATATCTCTTTTCAAATATTTTCATAAAGTGCATATATGCAATGACAAACTACAAGCCCACTTTCACTGTCTCCATACGCTAACACTTAGTAAGTCATATTAGCCATCACACACACTTAACTGTATGGCAAAACCACTACGTGAACATGTAGAATATGTGTCCGATATGGGACGTGTTGAGATACTTGATAATTATTTTTTTTCAATACTTTTCATAGATTTTAAAGCATTCTTGTCAATGGACCCTTTTTAAGTTGAGCCAACTTTTTATCAATCATTTCATTTTTGTCCGAGTCAGAAGCCGTAGTTATCGGCAGCACGCGTCATTTTTACAACGTAAACAAATGTTTCTTCCCCTGTTTTCAATACGTATTCCGATTCTATCTGAAGTAGAAAATTAATTCTTTATAGAGAAAAGGTTGTTACATGATCATACATTCTAAGTCAACAACATATGAAAACATGAACTGTTGAAAAATTAAGATTTAAAAAAAAAATGTTACGCGATCCTATTTACTAGAAGTAGGTTCTCCTTCCTCAGTTATTTATCATGGCCCTTCATTTTGACATTTTTAATCTAGCTGCGATAATGTAGCTTTCTGACGACGAGATAAAAAAATATATATATTGCGTCGTCGCGCCAGAGGAAGCCGGGTATTCATATTTGTACTAATTTAAATCTTGTATGCAAAAACAAACAAAAAATCGTTTAATTGAGCAATATAATTAAATCATACCATTTTACTGAACCCGGTAATATTATAAATTATGTAAATCTAAAAGCGCACGTATCTCATTTGACCCCGATCACGAGTACCGACAGAGTGGCTATCACAACAGTTAACCCTTGTGAGGCCTCATGACAAAATCAAACTAACCAGTCACTTATCCCTTCCTTTCGCATGAACCACTGTATAATTATAGAAACACAAAGTAAACTCTCTCCGATACATGCCCATCGACATATTAAACTAAGTTCATCTGTGTTCAAACTCAGACAAAGATACTAGCGAGGTTAATAGTTTTAGATATTTATTCATAACATAAACAGCGCTAGCATTTCTGTCGATTCCATTTCAGCTTAACCAGCTATCCGGAAGAATACATGTATCGTACTAACTGCTAGGGCAGTTTTTTTCTCCTTTGAATACTTCCCACCTGTAATAATGATTCCGTAATGTACTCCTTGCGCTATCTTTTGAACATTTGGCAACTTTTCGCTTCGTAGCTGACACGGTACAACACTTTTTTTTGGCTTACTTCACACGGGCAGTCATTTTGTTTACAAAGAAATGGTGTGCAATGCGCATGCGCTAGTAGAGGGAAATCCCTGAACAAAACGTTGGTCAGACAGGTAGAAATACCGATGATTATCTTAGATTTTATCATTTTTATGAATCTATTTCAGCCAAATCCGATCGTTATTTTCCATAAGGAGTCTCACTTGATATGTTTATGTAGTATTTGATATAAAAAAAAAAATAGTTACTTCAGCGTGATGCCCCTTTAAGTTTCAAATTCATTTTAATCCGTTGAAAATTACTCTGGATATCTAGCGGACACTGTTCGACAATTGAATAAAGCGGCATTACTGTGTAAATTACACTAGGATAATACATGTAGTAGTTATCGTACTCGTCTGAAGTTTCTTGATAATTAACCTTCCTTTGATGATTGACCCTAATCTGTTGCAAACTACTCTAGATAACAAGCGGATACTCCTACAGCGATTGAATTAAGTAGCATGACAATGTACATTTGAATATTACAACGGATGTTGATGGTTATCGAATCTTGTGAGCTTTTGTGGTATTCAACATTCCTATGAAGTTTGAAGTTAATGCGTTGAAAATGACTAGAGATAAAGAGTGTTTCAGAATTTGAAAAATGGCTATCACTGTAAATTTTGATAGGATAATAGTAGCTATTAAACCTGTCCGAGTTTTTGTGGTAAGCAACCTTCCTTTGAGGTTTGAAGTTAATCCGAAGATTTCGAGAGGACATCGTTTTAGCAATAGAATAAAGTGGCATAACTCCGTTAAATACGGTCGGTTAGTGGTTCTTTCCAAACACGTCCAACCTTTTGATGAATCAACCTTCCTCTTACATTTGTAAGTTAATGCAATGGAAATTGCTCTAGATATCGAGCAGACACCGTGCGCGAAAACCCACAGGAGAGACGACCAAGGGACGCTACCCTACGAACAAGGTTTATTTGCCCTTTGGAAATTACTATGTTGATGGAAATAACACGTCATACTTTTTTTTACTAAAGGCAAACTGTTGGAGAAAAGACCTGGCTTCCCTCCTGAGGATACAGACCCAGATGCATGTGTTAAGAAGTTCACTCTTGAGAACTATTACTGTCCTAAGGCTGGTAAGCTAAATAGTTTGGTTTGGTTAAATTTTCTTTAACGTCCTATTAACAGCTCAGGTCAACTAAGGACGTGCCTCCATGTGTGTTGTGTATGCGTGCTTGCGTGTGTGTATGCAGGGGACATGATATGTTGGTGTGCTTGCTTCCTGGTGATAGCGTAGATATAATGCCGCCTTATAGCGCTATCTCACTGAAATACCATACCGAAAGCACCCATCACAGCTTTCCGTCTGGTCACATACTGACAACGGGTGGACCAGTTGTTTTCATTCCCCTAAATGTTGAACGTTAAGCAGGGAATAACAACTACCATTTTTAAGGACTTTGGTATATCCCGGCCTGGGGACATGAACCTATTGCCTTCCTCACCTGGGCGAACGCTCAAAATAAAAGCAAGTTAGAAGTAAAAAGAAAGATAAAAAAATCCCAAATACTGCAATGGGTGCAGCATATTTATTTCTTCAGTGGGTTCACACATTACTCGCCTTCTAAGATATATGCATTGGGTAACAGGCTGGTTTGGTTTGGTTTAACATTGTTTAACGTCCTATCAACAGCAATGGTCATGCAAGGACGGCCTCCCATGTGTGCAAGATGCGTGCGTGTAATATAGAGTGCGTGTGTAGGTTGGGAGGCTGTGATATGTTCGTGTTTGTCTCCTTGTGATAGCACGGAATTGATGCCGACTTTTAAGTGATACCTCACTGAAACATACTGCCGAAGACAACCAGCAGGACACCCTACCCGGTCACAATATACTGACAATGGGCAAACCAGTCGTCCCACCTCTAAAATGTCCCGGCCTGGGACAGATCTCATTGCCTTCATTACCTGGGCGACCGCTCAACTTTCAAGCCAAAAGTAATGTGTTGCCAAGCAAGGCGTTAGGACATAAAAGGTAGTAATAAGTTGAAAGAAAGATAAATATCTCAAATGTTAAGCAGGAGTAGAAACTACCATTTTTAAAGACTCTGGTATGTCTCGGCCAGGGGACAGAACCTTCCTCACAGGGTCGAACGCTCAACTAAAGGTCAAAAGTGAGGCATTGTCAAGGGAGACATTAGTAAAAAGAAAGTTGTTTAGAAGGAAGAGAAAAAATAATATCCCAAATTTAGTCGCCTCTTACGATCATGCATGTATAATTCTTACGCCCTACCTGCAGGTACGTCAGTGGGTAACAGCATGTGTATTCTTTTCCCGATCCCCAACCTGCAGGGGTTTAGCTAAATAGAAGCACAATGAGTAATTTGCTCCTATATAAATATCCATGTTTTCTGTTTTTCAATCCTTAATAGACTTAAAGTACCGAAGTTAATGCTGAGGCTGGTCTTCTTTTTCACTCCAAGCGAAGCCGTTCACAATCCTTTTTATTTTATTTATAACAGTCATTAAAATAACAAGAGGCACAGAGGGCCTGTATCGCTCACCTGGATAGCTAAGTAACCATGGCAAAATATTCTCCAAACGAGATCCAAGTGCTTGTAACATTTCTGTATTAGATTCTTATGTATGGTTATGGGGTGGGAATCTCAACTGTTTCATAGATGTGACTCAGAAACTAGGTCCCTGGGGTTGTGGCCAGATCCCGGGATCAATTATAAAATTATGACTGCATTCGTCTCTTTATGCCCAACAATTGTATTTATACATAGTTTGGGGATCTAAACCGTTTCAACGTTATGACCCAGGGCCTATGTCTCCAAGCATTCAAGCATATGTGCATTCTTCTTTTTATATTCAGCAATTGTATATATGTTATAGGGTGGGGATCTCAACCATTTCAAGGTTATTCACTTTTTTGTGGTCCCGCCCCTTAGCCCGGAGGTCAGCCCCACCATTTGTACACTTTTGAATCCCCGCCTTCAATGAATGCTTCCGACCAAATATGATTAATATTCAGTGCATGGTTCTACAGAATAAGTCGTTTAGAGGAATATAGCCAAATTATTCACTATTGGCCCCGCCTCTCAGCAACACCATTTTTATAATTTTGAATCACCACAACCAATGGATGTTTCCAATCAAATATGGTTGATATCCGTCATGTAGTTCCAGAGGAAAAGTCGCTTAAAGCAATATAGCTAAATAGCCTTGTTTGGCCCCGCCCCTCAGCCCCCTTGGAAGTCACGCGCACAATTTGTGCAATTTTGAATCCCCACCATCAATGAAAGCTTCCAATCAAATATGATTGATATCCAGTGCATTTTTCTACAGTAGAAGTCGTTTATAGCAATATAGTCGAATTGCCCCCTTTTGGCCGCGCCCCTCAGCCCCCTGGGGTTCAGGCCCACCATTTGTAAAATTTGGAATCCCCACAACCAAGTCAACTTTAGTTAAATTCCATGAGTGGTTAAGAAGTCGTTTAAAGAAATTGTTGACGTACGGACGACGGACGTCACGGTATGACATAAACTCAACTTGATCCTTCAGACCCGTGAGCCTATACTAACCATGGAAAATAAGTGTTTCGTTACACAGTGGATACCTTTTTTTTTTGTTTGATAATCCGCAGGAGATAGAAGATCCAGCGACATCTCTCATCTGACCGTTTACCATGTTCTCTTTTTGAGAGTTCACAATGATCTCGTTGAGAAACTGCAGGACATGCATTCCAATTGGAAACCCGAACGGCTATACCAGGAGGCGAGGAAGATTGTTGGTGCGATCCTTCAACAGATTACCTATAACGAGTGGCTTCCTCTCTTCATCGGACAGGACATGATGAGGAAACACAAACTTACCCTTGGGGGACCGTTTCGGTATGACAAAAATCTGAATCCCTCTATAACTAACGAACTCGCCACTGCGGCCCTTCGCATCGGTCATACCCTGGTTACAGGCTCCATGAAGCGAATGAACAGTTCTTTCGACATAATGGAAGAACAACAGAATCGAAACGCATTTTTGGACCCTTATCTAACCTTCAGGAATGCACCAGAGGTCATGAGGTGGATGACAACAGCACCAGCACAAAAGAGCGACAGGTAGAATGATAACACATTATAATAATTATGCTAACATCTTTAAATAATAATTATCATATACAATGCTTTCACCTTTACAAAAAATCATGTTGATTAAATGTGTTTGTAGTTTTAATAAGGGATTCGAAAAAAGAAGAAATATGTAACATAGTAGCTTTAACATTAAAATACAACAATAGTTCTAACATCTTTGAAAATGATGATAACAAATATGCATGTACAGTTTCGATAACGAGGTAAAATGTATAACGACGTAGATTATAATTCTAGAACGTTTGTTTTTGCAGAAATGCCTTTACAAAGTGTCACTCAGCTCCTATTGCAATATTTTACCTTCAAATTTCAATGATGCTGTATAATAACATTAAAGTGCAAACATGTCTTTAAATCGTCAAACAATGGAAAGCAATGTTTTTATCTTATTTACAGAGATGGGAAATATAATGTATAACTTATGGTTTCACAATCACCAGATTGCAGGGATATTTATCGGTAACATGGTTAATGATTCAAATTGAAAACATACCAGTATACACTTTATTTACAGGTTTATCAACCTCGACTTTATCGATTTCCTTTTCTCCAACGTGGATGCGTCTTCCCCTCTTGATCTGATGTCATTGAATATCCAGAGGGGGCGTGATCATGGGTTGGCTTCATATGCGGACGTTTATGAGAAATGTGGCTTTGGGACTATTGATGACTGGGACAGCCTGAATCATCATACCCTTGACGTAAGGGAGGCTCTGAAGAAAGCGTATCCTGGCGTGTAAGCATCCATTAATATATAGAAAGATTTTTAAATGGATTTTATTTCCAAACAAAACACTTATCTATATATAGTATAGTACAGAAGTTTGTATAATGAAACCAATCGCTTTTGTTTCCCAAAATAGAGGCCACTAACGCAAATCCCCAATTCATGCACGTAATGGGCTTGTCAGTTGTGCGGGACTAAAATTTTAATTCTGCTACGTACAGTTGTGGGACCGCACAACGCACCAAAAATGGCGTGCGCACACCGTGCATACATCGTTCACACACCGTCCGCACATCGTCCACACATGGTGCGCACAACTGTGCGATTTAGCAATCGTTCGCCCCGTTGTGCGCTTCTCTCCGCACAACTGTGCGATTTGGTATCGTTTGTAGATCAAAATTACGGAATGACAAAAATACGGAAGGCTTGTATGCGATAATGTACACTGTGTATATATCTGTAATTTCTCATCCCAATAATCAAGATTATACAATTTCACAATGCGTATTACACAGTATTACAGTGACCGTTAGGCTGTCAAGAAAGGGTTTGGCTCCAAGGTAACAGAACAGGTAAATAACAATTTTATGAGTGTCCGGAGTTTTACCTGACCAGTGCCTGACACACAGAGCTGATATGCGATACCGTTTGACCGTAATAAAAAGGATTTGTTATTTGCATTCGTTTACCTATATATAGCTCCCCTTCACCTGGATTTTCACACCCCCGGCCTTACCCGACGAGTTACGTAAATGCCCCAGGCGGGGAGAAAACTACGGTCCAGGTACATGTACACAATGGTTATGTTTACCTGTATACGGGGTTGTGTTGTAATTTTACATGTGTCGATTAAGTTTGTTTAAAAACACAGAAAACACAATTCCTAAATATAAGAATTTATAGACAGAAAGATAAGTTTATAGATGTTGCTAGAATATAGAAACATACGTAAACATCAAGTTTATATGTTTAACAAGAAACCGTATAAATTGTTAAGGCATTCCTCAATTTACACCAACCACGATTGTTATCGCACAACGTCCGTCCATCGTGCGCACATATGTGCGCAAGCAATGATCGTTCAGCTTTTTATCGTTCGCCCATCGTGCACACACCGTTCACACACCGTGCACACATCGTGCGCACACCGCACATCGTGTAACGTTGTGCGATCCCACAACTGTAGTAGCCATATGCTCAAAATTTCACGATGGCAAAAGTCCCTGAAACAGATAGCAAGAAAATGTTACCCTGTTTAGATAATAAATAATAGCTAACAACCTGCAGGTAGGAGATTTGCAAAAAGTAAATATATATAATATAGATCATGTTGCACACTCGTCTGCGAGACAGTAAAGCGACTATACCTGCTACAATCAATATACTATTTGGGATCTTTGTATTTCTCTGTCCAATACTTCATCCCAGCAGGTGGGGGATCGGGAAAAGAATACATCTGCTGTTACCCACTACATGTATAGTAGTAGGCGACTAATGCGCGAACCTCGTGCAGAATTGGGGATTTGTATTAATGTCCTCTATTTGGGGACACAAAAGCGACCACAATAAATCTACTGCGTCCATTGTAATATTTGAGATATTTATCTTTCTTTCAACTTATTACTACCTTTTATGTCCTAACGCCTTGCTTGGCAACACATTACTTTTGGCTTGAAAGTTGAGCGTTCGCCCAGGTAATGAAGGCAATGAGATCTGTCCCAGGCCGGGACATACCAAAGTCCTTTAAAATGGTAGTTGTCACTCCCTGCTTAACGTTCAACATTTAGCGGAATAAAAACAACTGGTTCACCCGTTGTCAGTATAATGTGAGTGGGCGGAATGCTGTGTTTGGTACCTTCGGTATGGTATTTCAGTGAGATAGCAATATAAAGTCGGCATCAGATCCGCAATATCACAAGGAGGCAAGCACACAAACATTCCATGTCTAATGCATACACACACGCAAGCAAGCATACACTACACACATTGAGACACGTGCTTAATCTACTCCTGCTTAACGCTCAGCAATTTAGGAGTGGGACGACTGGTTCACCCGTTGTCAGTATAATGTGACCGGGTGGGGTGTCCTCCTGGGTATCTTCGGAAGTATGTTTCAATGACGTAGTACTACAAGAGATCCCAGAGGGATCTTGGTTCCCACCATTGTACCATCTTCATTAGTTCTTTGTCAGTTCGATATTTTCTCTTTTTTCCTCTAATCTGTTTGATCGAGTCATGTTAACAGTAAAAGCACCTTGAGGTAACTTTTCATCTAAACTTAATACTGATGTGTATGATAGCCAACCTTCAAAGTGAGTTTGTCATTTCACATAGTTACTAGTACAGTACTTAATGTGAAAGAAATAGAATCGATTATTGTAATATGAGAAAGATCTGCTTAGTTCGTGCTTTAGCCGGTTTTTTTTTATGATCAGTCTCCAAATATAACATGCACAACGAGGGGTCAAGGGGAACCTACATATCAAATTTGAGAAAGATCCCTGAAAATATTCCTGAGAAATAGTACTAACAAACCTTCAATGTCAAAAATCGAAGATGGCTGTCGGTAGGCCATTATGTTTAACTGATCAGTTTCAAAAGTAAACATGAACAATAAAGGATGGTGGGGAATCTGCATTGGCTGGCTCAAAATATATTTTTTGGTCGAGTAAAAAATTGGAAGCGCTGGCCCAAATGACATATTGGTGGCCCAAATGAATTTGGGAAGAAATATTTCCACAGCATTTAACACAATGCTTCAGCACATTTAAATTACATGTAACATGACAATGTTTGTAATACGTAAAACAGAATAAAACATTATATTTTTAATTCTTCAACCCGAGTTAAAACCTGACATGTTCCCCAAAGAAATACACAAAATTCGCACCTCAAAGAAGACACCCTGGCTTTATTTTATATAGAAAATCTGGAGAGAAAAAAAATCATCACATTTTCTAAGTCCCGGACAGTTTGATTCAAATCGAAGTAATGACAACTGAATTATGTACTGCCCCCTAGTTAATGTGGAAGGAACTATAAGTTCTTTTATTCATAAATTTTTCAACAGTCACCCAAACTATTGTTGTTGGGCCTGTGACTACCTCACTTTTGACAACTTTTAGTCGTCCGAGCGAGACTTTTAATCGCCATTGGCGAGCGGGAGACCGTCCATTTCAGGCACTGTTGCACAGCTAAGGACCAAGGGGAACCTACAAACCTTCACTATCAAAATCCAAGATGGCTGCCTGTCGGCCATGTTGTTTATTCGATAAGTCTCAAAAATTGCCCTGCACAGCTAACCTACATATCAGATTTGAAAAAGGATCCCTTTGCTACTTCCAGAGAAATAGCGATAACAAACTTTCACTATCAAAATCCAAAATGGCTGCCTGTCGGCCATGTTGTTTATCCGATCAGTCTCAAAAGTTGCCCTGCACAGCTAAGGACCAAGGGGATCCCTGCAGTACTTCCGGAGAAATAGCGATAACAAACTTTCACTATCAAAATCCAAGATGGCTGCCTGTCGGCTATTTTGTTTATCCGATCAGTCTGCAGAGCTAAGGACCAAGGGAAACCTACATATCAAATTTGAGAAAGACCCCTTTGTTACTTCTTGAGAAATACTGATAACAAGAATTGTTTAAGGCGGACCACGGACCACGGACGCAGGGTGATTTGAATAGCCCACCATCAGATGATGGTGGGCTAATAAAGTTGGCATCAGTTCCGCGCTATCACAGGGACACAAACACGAACATATCGCAGCTTCAAAAAACACACACGCATGTATCTTGCACACAGGAGAGGCCGTCCTTAAATGACCCTAGCTGTTGATAGGACGTTAAACAATACTTAACCAAACCAAACCAATCCACGTCCTTAAATGACCTTATCTGTTAATAGGACGTTAAACAAAATTAAACTGTCCAATAATTTGGAGTTATCCCAGTCAACATAGTTATCCAAGTCAATCACATGATGTTGACTGGGATAATAGCAATCTGTTCAAGCGGCAGATAAAGGAAGCCATCAGGATACGCCGCAGTTGGCCAGTTCTAGTTCGAGATGAGGCGGTTCATAGACTATCGCACATCTATGACCAAGTATTGAACAAAGTGTAGCTGAATTGGGTCATTTCGGTATAACAACTCATTGTACATACGCTTACAACGTAGCCGAATCGACATCGATTTGTGGAAAACTCGTACGCTTCACTGGTCATTTGTCTGATGAACGTGACAGCGTACATACCGTACTAACCATCGAAACGTCACATATAAACACTAGTTGGTTGTGCTTCATCAATCCTTGCACTTACCATTAAAACATTTCGTATAAATGTTCTTTCGGTTTACTTTGTTTTCATATCCGTTACCTTATTTTGGTGAACGAGCAAAATAAACATCTTCTGAATCAATTAATTTTGCCAGTATTCATATACAAGATCCTATGATGATCGGATCCAACGTAAATATTAACGTTATTCACTAAACTGCACTGTATTGATATTGTTAATATATACTTTCTTCCATAGGTCGGCTAAGGACATAGATCTTTTTCCAGCTGGAATATCAGAGACGATTACTGATGAAGGCGGCCAGTTAGGTCCAACATTTGCTTGTATCTTTGCGGACCAATTCAAACGTATCAAGTTCGGTGACCGGTTCTGGTATGAAAACGATAAAAAAGCAACTCCAGGTTCTAAAGCCCCATTCAAGAGTTGTAAGTGCATGTTATTTTCTTCTTCTTTTGAAAAATATTTTGATCATTGAAATATTATTTACTTGATACTTGAACAAGAGGCTCAGAGAGCCTGTATCGCTTACCTGGATATCTAAGCATCAGGGCAAAATATTGTCTAAATAAGATCCAAGGGAATGGGCCAGACCCCTAGGCTAATCCTTGTAGCATATTATGTATTAGATTTTTCATGCCCAGACATTTTATGTATGCTTATGTGGTCGGGTTCTCAAATGTTTCCAAGCTGCGACTAGGTCCCAATGGGTTGTTGCCAGACCCGAGGATCTATTCTAATATCATGACTGCGTTTATCCCTTTATGCCCAGCATTTCTATATATAGTTTTGGGATGGGGATCTTAACCATTTCGAAGTTATGACCCAGGGGTTAAGTTTGCAAGGGTGGGGCAGATCCCGGAGTCAATTATAATATCATGACAGCTTTTGTCTCTTTATGCCCAACAAATGTATATGTAGTTTTGGGGTGGGGATCTCAACCGTTTCAACGTAATGACCAAGGGGTAAAGGTTCCAAGGGTGGGGCAGATCCCGGGATCAGTGCTAATATCATGACACCATTTGTCTCGGCCCCACCATTTGTACAATTTTGAATCCCACTACCTAGGGATGCTTCCAGTCAAATTTAGTCAAAACTCCAATCAGTGGTTAAGAAGAAGTCGTTTGAAGAAATTGTTGACGGACGGACGCCACGGTACGGCATAAGCTCACATTGGTCCTTCGGACCAGATGAGCTAAAACTGATCAGAACAATATTAAAAATTTGCTGTCAGGTGGGGTACTGTGCTGGGGCCCTCGTCATGATATGTCAGTGAAGCAGCACTCTAAATTTAGCATTAAATTCCTCACATAGTTACACATACTAAAAACCTGCAAATAAGACACTTTATATAAAAAATATAAGTCACCTCTCTAATTAATCGACATTCTGCACATTCTACGCAGGGGAGTTGAAGGAGACCAAAATGTATTTGCTGTTCTGATTACAACACTTGAGATCGTTTTCGCTTCACGTCTTTCCTGCCTTCTTTAATTTCGATATAGTTTCTTTTTCGGTCGGTGGCGTTGTCTCCCTAAGATGTGAGGACGTTACACCTCAAACAAAAGTAAGGTGGTGTTAAAAAGATTGAACATCAACATTAGGAATACCGGTTTGGATTAGATCCAAATTGTCACAATTAGTTGTGTTAAATATAAATGTCTATACGTTGCATATACAAATACATTGATGACTTATTTCTGACTTGTACTCGCTAGGACATGTAGTGTTGCAGTATTAAGACATACCAGAGTCTGTAAAAATGGTAGTTTCTTCTCCTGCTTAACGTTCAGCAATTTAGAGTGGGATGACTAGTTTGCGGGTTGTCAGTATAATGTGACCGGGTTGGGTGTCCTACTGGGTGTCTTCGGCAGTATGTTTTAGTGCGGTAGCACTATAAAGTCGGCATCAGTTCCGCGCTATAACAAGGAGACAAACACGTCCATATCACAGCCTCCCAAAACACACACGCATACACTACACGCATGCATCTTGCACATAGGGAAGACCGTCCTTAAACGACCATAGCTGTTGATAGGATGTTTAACAATACTAATCCAAACCAAACCAAAATTATTGCAGTATGACAGTATGGCGGTTAGCAGGAATATTAAAGGGGCTATTTAAAAAATGACAACCTGAAAATCGAATTTATACTGAAAATATATATCTCTTAACGAATATTTACGTGGTTTATAATGACATGATCTGAAGCCAACCTTCAGTGTGGTCAGTGTTATCTTTTGAGAAAGCCAGTTATAAAAATAGCTACGACCGAAATAGTGCAATATCCGGACCTTTCAGTGGGAAGTAAACATGTATGTCGACCGACAGCAAAATGTCAGTTTTGAGTCTGATTTCACAGGTAACACATTCTTGTCACTTTGAATTTACACTATACATCGCAGCCAAGAATTGTAAGTATCATAATACATAAATCTAATCAGACATTTCTGTTAAAAGTTGGATTTGAATAAAAACAAACATGTTTAATTAGAGTATGCAAGCACTGAGAGGGTACCGCAGGGAGAATTTCAAACTGCAGAAAGTACGATATCAATAGGTTTAGACGTAAAATAGATTTCTAATCTATAGCGATGGTTGAGATGTTGTTTGGAAGATGCCCTTGATTCGGATTCCGAAGAAGTTAGGTGAAAACACGAGAATTCACCTTCTCTCCTCGGCTGGAAAGATATTTTTGTTAGCTAGAAATTCACTGGCAGCTATTGCTAAAACGTACGGTTGTACATTTAAGGATTTCTTCATTACTGATACACAACGCTTAAGAAACATCGTTTCTTCTCAATTTCTCGACATGAATTGTTCACAAGGAGTATCAAACTATATAATTCTGAAAAATTCTGTGATAAGTTTATAAAATAAAAATAAACCTTACTTCACTAAATTGTTCCTTTAAAGTGATGTAAAACATTTCCATGTTGTGACAAAGGGCTTAACTAGGACAAGACATTTCATTCTTCTAAAGAAGTCCTATATTCTTTTATTTTTTACAAATTTGACCGCTGTGTTTTAAAGATTGAAATGGTCATCTTTGTTCAAACCATTCCCAGGCACCATCTACAGAAGCTTACTCTTATGGCAAAATATAATAATTTAAGGCATTACGGTCCTTCAGTTGAAGTTGTTTGAAGGTTGAAATTGAAAATAAATCATTTTTATCCTTAAACTTGTTAAGACTTTACATGTACATGAACCAACCAACAAAGCTACCATCAGAATATATTTCGGGTCATCAGGAGCATTTGTTAAAAGATGTTGGCATATTTAACCGAAATGACCTTGAATGTAGGTGTTTTTATTCGGAAAGTTTTGAGGATCGTTTCCATGAAGCTATTCGCTAAAATTCAAGCATCTAGGCCAGTGTTATTCGCAAACTTTATGTGGCGCCATTTAAGAAAGCTACCAGCAAAATATCAAGATTATTGACCTTTAGGTTATTTAGAAGAAGTCGTTAAAAGGAAAAGTGTATAACGGACAGACAGACGGTCAAACGACTGACGCTGTGCTATGACTCAAGGTGAGCTGAAAACTAGACACTGTTGTTGTCTGGTACTAAATGAAGGACGCCTGCAGTTGTAAGAGATGCATGTTTTGCTCTGTTGTACGAGAAGAATATTGCTACATGTATTTTTTTTAACCACTGTTAACATTCTGATGGGACGGATTTTGTTATGGTAAGCATCCGTCTGTCCGTTCGTTCATATATCGGTTTTTGCAAGGTAACTTACTAAAGAATCGATGTATTCTCGCAATAGTCGGTACATCTGAGGCAAAGTTTTAAGTTGAGCAAACTCGGTGTTTAATTATTAAGCATACTGTTCTCTGGTTGGTCAACCGCCACACTTCCGTTTCCGCAAGATAATTTGCTTTTTTTTTATATATAAAACCTGGTAAACGTGTATAATATGCAAAGACTGGGGGAAAGTGTGAAGTTAAGCAAAATCCACGCATAATTAGTTAGTGTACTACACTCCTCCAATTGGTTGGCGGTTTCTGCAGAATAACTTAGGAAAATATGACTGGTTTCTTGTGTAACTTGGTCTATATTTATATTACAAAAAGCCAAAAACTAAGTTTAATGTGAACCAAATGAGCGTATTTATAGCATATTGCCATCTGATTCGTCAACAGTTTCCGCACATGACATGATTCTGATAAGTCAATATCAACACTAATCCTAAAGCATATTTGCTAGTTATTGATAAGCAATTTTCTGGTTATGACTGATGTAAAAAGGAACGAATATTGGTAAAAATGGTCATGCCAATGTCTATTTTCATGGTTTGAAATATGGACAAACGGGAACTATTCCTATTCAAATCAGCCCTTTTAACGGTCATAACGATATATGTATAAGTCACCTTAAGTTCGTCAAGTAAAGCAAGTTTTCTCTTTTCACTAAGTCCTATTAACATTAAAATATGTTTACCTACTTAAAAACTGTTCATCTGTTCAGTAAGATATAACTTACCATAGCAACTTTATCTTTTGACGTTTGTCTTTTACATTTCGTTCTTTTAATGTAATTTCCTTTATCATGGTTTATCTAATTTTTATTGACCTTAATAACCTCTTCTGTGTTGGTTGTACAGAACTTAAGGTCCTATCAACAGCTGAAATCATTGATTGCGTTGTTATTGCATGAACAAAAAATCGAACTCGAAGATTTTTTAATTATTTTCTTTGTATCTTCCCTTGTTTTATTTGGAATCGAAGGTTATCAAAACAGTGTTACTGCTTAAGGTGCAAAGCTCCTATGTTGCGGCACACTTTCTTTGTTGATATTCCGTATCTATAGTTTTCTTATACATTCTTTAATTTATACATATTCAGCTCAAATTGAGGCAATTAGGGAGGTGAAGCTATCCAAACTGATCTGTCAGCACTACGGCCTAACTGAAATACAAGAGGATGCATTCATACAACCTGGAGTGTAAGTATTCTTACATAGTACTGTAACTGCAATCCATACCAAAATGATGATTTGTTAAGGTCTTTTCCTTCCCTAGATTCTGCGAAAAAATGTAGTTTTTCAATGTTTAATGTTGGTGTATGTTTTTGTTTATTCGTGCGTGCGTGTTTGTGTGAAATACAGTGAAAAAGGAGTAACACTGTTAACTGTACAGAACTAAAGCAATAAAATGGGAGGCAATGTGTCTTAACGATTTTTTTGGTTATAAGTAGGTTGTTTTATATTTTGCTGTGACGACGTGAAATCTAAAAGAGAATCAATACAAAGCAATGTAGTAATATTTACATATATGACATTGATTCGCTTAAGAAATAATAATTGGGTCTGGCCCGCTTTTATATAAAGTTACAGCAGAAGAATCCAAAGCTTCAACCAGATCGTAACCTGACCTTAAAATCGATAGACACAAGGGCAAAATATGAACAAAGAATAGATTTACATCGAGAAATTGGTGTAAAGTAATAGGGTAATAAGACCATGATGTCTAAAAGGGTCAGGCCTCCCGCTTCATCGACAACATTCGCAATGTTTTGGTTTTATTTTGTTTAACGTCTTATTAACAGCCAAGGTCATTTAAGGACGCGCCTTCATGTGTGTTGTGTATGCGTGCATACGTGAATGTGTGCAGGATAGAGAGGGTATGTTGGTGTAATTGCCTCTATGTGATGGCGCGGATCTGATGTAAAAATAAAATAAATATCACATCCTCTGAGCCGTGGTTTATACAACGAACCAAAAAGGTACACAAATGAATTTAAAAAAATATCGACGATGATATCATACAAAGATATAGGACTTTCCCCTATGAGATCAATATAGCGACGACCATAACATCTTTCCAAAGTCTTATTTAACTGCATCTTTGGAAATCCCGTGTTATATGAGTGTGTCTAACAGCAATCACATCCATGTTACTATAACATCAAAATTGTTCCACTTATAGTACTCGTTGTGGTATCCCGTCCCTGTTGGTCATAAGTCAAATACAGGTCAGAAAACTGGCACAGAACACTTATTATGGAATTTCCTTATACTGATTATCCTTGATAAAAATATCCTGTTTGCTCACTCCACTTAAGCTCTTTTTCTTTATTTTCTTTTGATATGCACGTCAAAATATTTTAACAACACTTTCATTTTCGCAGGATAAGTTGCTGAAATATCCCAAGCATATTATACAACGATTAAAGCCTGGTTAAAAGTTGACCTCACATAAATAACAATCATATTTACCTATGATTGGGTTATAGTTTTTGCACAATAATATTAACTTCAATGTTTATATGTCCAAAATAAAGGCTAAGGCCGAAATTTGACAAAATCTCTGTTGAAAATTTGAAATAATTAGCATTAACTGCAGCTGCTTTCAGATAAGGCCACTTAATTTCCGCTTAATAATTATTACTTGGTTTTGATGAATCTTGGTAATAATTTGTTTTACATGAAAACAAAGGTTGGGTATTTAGACATAGTCGACACGAATACTGTACTCTGATTGATGGGAATTTTCGCAAAGATAAGTGAATATATTATGACTGGATTGTTGTTAAAACCTGGTCAAAATATACATTATTTTACTGAATTTATCAATTTTCCCCATTTCCAAGTGGCCGGGAAAAATTCAATTCCTTGATAAAACGCATCTTGATGTTTCCATTAAAGAAAATAGCATATTATAGCCGATCATTGTTATCAGATTTATAGAAACTAAGCATTTTTGCCCGTAACGAGTTTTAATGTTGTTATGAAAATGTTCAACGATTCTGAACATTAAACATAGATTTATTCTTTGTATTTTTCGTCTCAATTAGTAAATGATCTTGTCAGAAGCGTCGTCAATAATTTATCTTTTTCTTGTAATGTTTTAGAAAATATGCGGTCATCTATCTTGATAGATATGATGAACATTTCACTTTGTGAAAATACAGTATAATTGTCTTACGTTTTTTAACCGTACAGGTCACACATGAGATAACAAATATAGACCTACTGTTATCAACTTTAGGTTGTAATGTGTTGGAATCCCACACTCTCTGGTGGTTTGCTTTACCGTCCTCCATCTGTTGGCGTTTTGATTTTAGGCTTGATAGGGTTAAACGTCCTTTTAATATGCAAGCATGAGTGTAATTGTACAGGAGGCAAGGTACTATATGTATTTGTACAGGAGGCAGGGTACTATATGTATTTGTACAGGAGGCAGGGTACTATATGCATTTGTACAGGAGGTCGGGTACTATATGTATTTGTACAGGAGGCCGGGTACTATATGTATTTGTACAGGAGGCAGGGTACTATATGCATTTGTACAGGAGGCAGGGTACTATATGTATTTGCGATAGCGCAGATCTGATGCCGATTGTTTGTTTTATTTTCCAGTGGTGATAGAAAAAGCTGTTCAGATATACCTGGACTTGACTTGACCCCATGGACCAAGGAAGGGGAGGATTGATGTCCAGGCCGTACTCATCTATGTAGAAGCTTACCTGTAGAAACTTAATAAAGTAGTATGCTTTGATTGCAAATGCTATGCTATCAGTTTTTATAACAATATTCCAGCTTTTTTTCTTGTCTAATACCTAGTAAATATTATGAAGCATGCAAAACGATTTGAAATAAAGTTTATTTGAAATCGCCATCTGTATTATTGTTATGAAATAGTACATGCACTTTTAACACGTTTTGTTCAATAATGATATTATTTCTTGTACATAACAAAACCATACCTTTGTATGTGTAGAGTTTAATATTCTCGCAACAGCCAAGGTGTCATGAAGACCGATGCCCATGGAATCCTCACCAAAAAAGTATGACATAAAATGAAAAAGAAACTTTCACGTTCAGATTTGAATTGGCGACGGTAAGAACGTATACGCCCGTTTTCAATAGAAACCGGGTGGAAGGAAATAATTATCTGTGAAAACAAGAGTTGATATGATCTAAACTGTTTCGAGATTGTCAAACTGAAAACAAAACAATCTATTTGATTATGTACAGTGTTTGTTTACCTGATCTACGACGTGCTAGCAATATTGTTATCCGACTCTTTATATAATTGTATAAAAAGAAGTTTTGACCGTTTTGCTTCTAAACTGCCAAACGTAACAAGCGCAGTTTTGCTACATGTAACTTACGACTGTTGACAGGTAACGAGATAAACTAGTGTTTGCTACGACTGTTGAGTAGTAATGTTTAACTCAACAGTGTCTAACAGCTGAGCTGTCCTCACTGGAACCGGGGCTGACGGGGACCGTCGCTGACAAGGACCGTTGCATATTGTGGCGTTTTCATACACTTATTTTAGCAAAAGTCTGCCATGATTTGTATCAATATATGACTAATGTTTAGCATGGGAAAGTGTCAGCATCAAATTATCAAGACAAAGTGATTATGATCATTGTTTTTAATACAAAAAGTGTAGCAGAACTCATAATGCGGTGTAGGAATATAGCAGTTACCTCCCTTTGATCATTTAACAACGAAAATACACGGTCCTGAGCGCTAGCGGGGACACCCTTATCAGGAAATCAAATGTTAAACATATCCATTGTCAGTCTTCTCATTAGTTAAGTCAGCAGCAATGAATCGGTCAAGCGATGTGTCATAATGATTTTTAAATAAAAATAAGTAACATGAACGACGAAATACTAAATATATACACGGTCCTATGTGGGGACATCCTGATCAGGTAATCAAATGTTAGTTATATCCGTTATATCACATTAATAAATATAGCAATGAATACGGTCAAAAGAGATGTCGTAATGACTTTTGAATGCAAAAAGAGGCATAAAAAACCCGCCGAATTACTTTATATATACATCTTATAGCATACACGGTCCCGAGCGTGGGTATCCTGATCAGGAAATCAAATGTTAAATATATCCGTTTATTTTTCGTCATATAAGTTAAGTTAGGGATGAACACGGTTAAAAGATGTGTCAATATGATTTTTAAAAGAAAAAATAGGTAACATGGATGACGAAAAACACTGTCCTGAGCGGGGTCATCCTGATGAAGAAATCAAATGTTAAAAATATCCGGCCTTTTTCGTCATATAAGTTAAGCTAGTGATGAACACGGTTAAAAGATGTGTCATAATGATTTTCAAAAAAGAAAGATGCAACTCGAACTACAAAATACTGAATGTATACATCTTACAAAAAAACACGGCCCTGAGCGGGCATCCTGATCAGGAAATCAAATGTTAAATATATCCGTTTATTTTTCGTCATATAAGTTAAGTTAGGGATGAACACGGTTAAAAGATGTGTCAATATGATTTTTAAAAGAAAAAATAGGTAACATGGATGACGAAAAACACTGTCCTGAGCGGGGTCATCCTGATGAAGAAATCAAATGTTAAAAATATCCGGCCTTTTTCGTCATATAAGTTAAGCTAGTGATGAACACGGTTAAAAGATATGTCATAATGATTTTCAAAAAAGAAAGATGCAACTCGAACTACAAAATACTGAATGTATACATCTTACAAAAAAACACGGCCCTGAGCGGGCATCCTGATCAGGAAATCAAATGTTAAATATATCCGTTTATTTTTCGTCATATAAGTTAAGTTAGGGATGAACACGGTTAAAAGATGTGTCAATATGATTTTTAAAAGAAAAAATAGGTAACATGGATGACGAAAAACACTGTCCTGAGCGGGGTCATCCTGATGAAGAAATCAAATGTTAAAAATATCCGGCCTTTTTCGTCATATAAGTTAAGCTAGTGATGAACACGGTTAAAAGATATGTCATAATGATTTTCAAAAAAGAAAGATGCAACTCGAACTACAAAATACTGAATGTATACATCTTACAAAAAAACACGGCCCTGAGCGGGCATCCTGATCAGGAAATCAAATGTTAAATATATCCGTTATTTTTCTTCACATTAGTAAAGTTAGCAATGAATATGGTCAAAACATGTGTAATAATGTCTTTTAAATGGAAACATTTGAACATGAACGATGAAATACCTAATACATACATCTAATAACATACACGGTCCTGTGCGGGGACATCCTGAACAGGACATCAAATGTTAAAAATATCCGTTATTATTCTTCACATTAGTAAAGTTAGCAATGAATATGGTCAAAACATGTGTAATAATGACTTTTAAATGGAAACATTTGAACATGAACGATGAAATACTTCATACATACATCTAATAACATACACGGTCATGTGCGGGGACATCCTGATCAGGCCATTAAATGTTAAATATATCCGTTATTATTCTTCACATTAGTAAAAATAGCAATGAATACGGTCAAAACATGTGTAATAATGACTTTTAAATGGAAACATTTGAACATGAACGATGAAATACCTAATACATACATCTAATAACATACACGGTCCTGTGCGGGGACGTTTAACTGGTCAACATCTATGGAAGGGGATCACCGCCATAATTATTTTTTATAGAATTAGTTACTTCTGGTTTGGAATCTAATTCTATGTACATTTGTATTATTTCCCTAGTTGATAAGTTATAGAATTAGTTACTTCTGGTTTTGAATCTAATTCTATGTTCATTTGTATTAATTCTATGTTCATTTGTATTAATTCCCTAGTTGATAAGTGTCTTTTTCCATGCTATGTACATTTGTGTTGTTGCACTCGTTTACAAATCTATTGCGTGTTCATTCCATGCTATGCTAGTTTT